TCCCTCCCTTCCCTCCCTTCCTCCCTCCCTCATGGAGTTTTGCTCTTGTCACCCAGGCTGGAGTGCAGTGGTGTGATCTCAGCTTACTGCAACCTCTGCCTCCCAGGTTCAAGTGATTCCCCTGCCTCAGCCTCCTGAGTAGCTGGGTTTACAGGCGTCACCACCACACCTGGTTAATTTTTGTATTTTAGTAGAGACGGGGTTTGGCTATGTTGGCCAGGCTGGTCTTGAATTCCTGAACTCGGGTGATCCACTCGCCTCGGCCTCCCAAAGTGCTAGGATTACAGGCGTGAGCCACCACACCCGGCTCATTTTTATTTTTTGGTAAGAGTCATCTGCATAAGCGTGAAGTGGTATCTCATGTGGTTTTCAAAATAATTATTATTTTTTAATTTTTTGTGGAGACAGAGTGTCACCGTTGTTGCCCAGCTTGATCTTGAACTCCTAGCCTCAAGCGATCTTCCCACCTTAGCCTCCCAACATATTGGGATTACAGGCATAAGCCACCGTGCCTAACCTCATTGTGGTTTTCATTCGCATTTTCCTAATGATTAGAGACGTTGGGCATCTTTTCACATGCTCATTGGCACATATTGGGAGAAATATCTATTCACGTCCTTTGTCCATTTTAAAAATTGGGGTTTTTTTGTTATTAATATTTTTTTTGTGTAGACCTTGTGTTGATGGCTTTTCTTCTTTTCATGGGCCAGTTACTTAGGGAAAATTAAATAGAAAAAAGCCAGGGCTGTGTTCTAGGATAGCAGAACTGTTCTTTATGACCTAGGCCTTCCACCTGAATTTCTAGTATATGTTTCTCCCCAGCAATGGAATTGGCAGTTTTCAGATTGTTCACAATGTGAGGTGTTTTCCCCTCTCTGCCTCAAAAACAAACTGCTTCCTACAAATATGACTTGTCTCACTGTGTTTCCTCATTTAGTCATATCTTCACTGCTTTGTGAAACCAATCCGGATTCACTGCCAACCTGTACACCTTAGTCTTACTATTTTGAACACAGAGTTTTATTATTGCACTTTGGGGATACCCCTCACCTGAAATTTGCATTTATCAACATCCTCTCTCCTCTTCCTTCCAAAGCCCTGCTCATTCCCATTGCTTTCGGCATCCTTTTAATCTAGTTTATCTATTTCCCCTAGTCTCTAATAGTTGATATCTGTTTCATTTTCCTTGTTGCTTATGGGTAATTTTTGAAAGAAGAGAAATTGAGAATGTGATCCATTCATGTTCGAACCAGAAGTCTTTGCAAGCACTTCTGAGAGTTACTGTATTATGATGGAGACAGGGAGAGGCTTGACAGCAAAAGAAACAGAGGCTGGGGTCCCTCCCTGCACCCTCTCTCTGGGGCAGCTTCCTCTGAGTTATTCCTCGACCACTCCACCTACCATTGGTGTTTCCCAGCTCCAGCCTCAGTGCTCTTCTCCTCTTCAAGCTCTCCATCCTCCGTGGATTTTATGTTTACGAATTCCCATCTTGGAGTCACCAGGCCTCAGCTCCATATGGCGCCCAGCCACTCATTGCCTCTCTGAATGACTGTGGGGTTGGTTTTCTTCTTTAGGAGGGGAAGCTGCATCTCTTCCGGGCCAGGATCCATTGTTACCTGCAGAGAGAGAAGCGCCAAGGGATCCTCAGAGACACCATGACTGCAGTGCCAACCAAAAGCCACCCAGGTAATCCTCCCCTGTTCAGTAAGTTCTCTTGACCCCAGCTCACTGTCCCCACCTATGATGGGAGATGCTAGAGATTATGAAGTGACTTGAGGTACTGGATGTGGCTGTTCCCGGGTCTGAAAGTGAAGGTGAGGAACTAAAGTCCCTTTCCTGCCCTATTTCCCATGAGATTCTGCTCACGCTCCTCCTACAATTAGAGACCTGTCATCCTGGTTTCCTTAGCTATGGTGACTGTACTTCACGAACCTCAGATCCGGATACATACTCAAGTCAGAATACAACATCTGTGTTGGCTGTAGTGGCCAAGCCTGTAATCCCAGCACTTTGGGAGGCTGAGGCAGGTGGATCACTTGAGGTCAGGAGTTTAAGACCAGCCTGGCCAACATGGTGAAACCCCATCTCTACTAAA